GGAGGAGGAGGAGGAGGAGGAGGGAGGAGGAGGGAGGAGGGAGGGGGAGGAGGAGCAGCCGCTGGAGGCCTGCGCCCCCCGCACGTCGCCTCCGCCCCCAGCCTCCCCCGCGGGGAGGCGGCGCCCTGCTCCCTGCGACGCATGGCGGCCGTGTCCTACGAGGCCCCGGAGCACCTGCCGGACCTGCCGGCGCTCGCGGCGGCGGTCGGGCGGCTGGTCGCCATCGCGGACGAGGCGTGCGCCGCCCGGCAGGGCCCACTTCGATCCGATCGTCGGGCCGGACGCAAGGGAGGGATTGGGAAAAAGGGTGGGGGGCGAAATCTGCTGCATGCAGCTGGTTTCGGCCTCACCGAGGGGCCCATCCCCCGATACATAGCCGCCTCCGGCGCCGGGAGGCGCCGGGACAATCAGCTGTGAGCTGATTCTCACCCCCCCCTTTGCTATCCCCCCCTTTCGCCCGACCCGAGATCGGTCCGCTCCTTTTCGGCCTTTTGGCGTATCCTGGGGAAGCTTTGGAGCCCGCGGTGGCTCGTTTGTGCCGTCTTCGGCCTGGTCTGGGACGTTTGGCAGCGTCCTGGCCGTCTAGGGCTGCCCTGGAGCCCTCTTGAGGTCGAAACGGGCCCTGTAGAGCAACACCAGGGAATCGATTTTCTGACGACGCGAGCGAGTACAGTGAGAGCCCATGCCAAGAGACACCCTGCTCGCCTCCAGGGTGCCCTGGGTTTCTTGGGTTTCACTTGTTGTTGTTGTTGTTGTTGTTGTTGTTGTTGTCGTCGTTTTTTTCTGTGGGAAGCGTTATGCTCCCAGACCAAAAGTCAATGGACGTCCTGGGATCTCAGGGCTGAGTTTCTTGTGGAAGGTTTCTTGTGGGCTGGCCTCCACTGTATCGGCTTCGGCTGGCCCGATGCGATTCGGTGCCGACGTTTCGGGGCGATCCCATGCGGCCAGAGGCTTAAAGCGCTGCTGTGCATCCTGGCGCGGCCCGATTCGACGAACGTTCCGATCCGATCCGATCTCCCCGTTCGATAGTGGCTGTTCCTGCCCAGATAGCCATACATTTTCCTCGGGCCGGACGAAAGGGGGGGATTGGGAAAGGGGGGGTTACGAAATCTGCTGCATGCAGCTGGTTTCGGCCCCGCCGCCGGGCCCATTCCTCGATACATAGCCGCCTCCGGCGCCGGGAGGCGCCGGGAAAATCAGCTACGTGAGGTGCTTCTCAAACCCACCCTTTGCCATCCCCCCCTTTCGCCCGACCCGATAATGGTTGTTCCTGCCCAGATAGGCATACATTTTTCGACGGTCGACCTCCGAGAGTTTGTATCTGTGCAGTTTCGGGGCGATCGGTTCTGTTGCATACTCGGGGGACCTTGCCTGTCCTGTCGCCCTGTACGTGGCGGTTTTCTCTTGCATCCGACGTGGGTTCGACGTGGGGTCGACGTGGATTCGGCGCGGATTCGACGCGTTCGACATGGGTTCGATGCGGACAGCGGCGTGACGGGACTGAGAAGGCCCCCCGAATATGCAGCATGAGGAAGAGATTAGGGAGGAGCAAGAGAGAAGGAGTTGAGGCCCTCGAGGGTTTGGGGGCGCCTGTTCTTCGAGGTGAGTTCCTGTTTTCTGGGACGGGGGTATAGCAGGACGGGGGGGGTCTTGACACTGGTGATGCTGCTGCTGTTAATGATGATGCTGCTGATGCTGATGATGATGCTGATGATGATGACGATGATGATGATGCTGCTGCTGCTGATGCTGATGATGATGATGATGCTGGTGCAGATGATGATGTTGATGATGATGCTGCTGCTGATGATGATTTTATTGATGCTGATGATGATGCTGATGCAGATGCCGATGTTGATGTTGCTGATTCTGATGACGACACTGATGCTGATGATGAGCTGATGCTGCTGCTGCTGGTGCAGATGATGATGATGGTGATGATGATGCTGCTGACGATGAGGATGCTGCTGCTGATGATGATGCTGCTGCTGTTGATGATTATGATGATCATGATGCTGGTACTGCTGATGTTGATAATGATGATGTTAATGATGCTAATGATAATGATGCTGATGCAGATTATGATGTTAATGATGATGCTGATGATGCAGCTGATGCTGATGATGATGCTGATGCTGCTTCTGATGATGATGATGCTGGTGCAGATGATGATGTTGATGATGCTGCTGCTGATGATGAGGATGCTGCTGATGATGATGTTGTTCATGATGCTGATGATGATGCTGCTGATGATGATGGCGACGATGATGATGCTGCTGATGCTGGTGATGACGTTGATGATGATGATGATCAGGATGCTGATGATGATGCTGATGCTGATGCTGCTGATGATGATGCTGCTGATGATGATGCTGGTGCAGATGATGATGCTGATGATGCTGTTGATGATGATGCTGATGCTGATGCTGTTGCTTGTGCAGATGATGATGCTGATGATGCTGCTCATGATGATGATGCTGATCATGATGCTGATGATGAGGTTACTGATGCTGATGATGCTGATGATGCTGATGTTGATGCTGATGATGCTGGTGATGCTGATAATGATGCTGATGATGCTGATGATGATGATGATGCTGATAATGTTGATGCTGATGCTGCTGATGCTGCTGATGATGCTGATATTGGTGCAGATGATGATGTTGATGATGGTGATGATGCTGATGCTGATGCTGCTGCTGATGATGCTGCTGATGATGCTGCTGATGATGATGCTGATGCTGCTGATGATGCTGATGATGCTGCTGCTGATGATGCTGATGATGCTGCTGATGCTTATGATGCTGATGATGATTATGATGCGGCTGCTGCTGCTGCTGATGATGATGATAATGCTGATGATGATGATGATGAGATGATGATGATGATGATGATGGATGATGATGATGATGATGATGATGATGATGATGATGATGATGATGATGATGATAAGGATGCTGATGATGCGATGATGATGATGCTGAGGATGGAGGAGGTGGAGGAGGAGGAGGACAAGATGGAGGAGGAAGGAGGAGGAGGAGGAGGAGGAGGAGAAAGAGGAGGAGGAGGAGGAGGAGGAGGAGGAGGAGGAGGAGGAGGAGGAGGAGGAGGGAGGAGGGGGAGGAGAGAAGATGGAGGAGGAGGAGGAGGAGCAGGAGGAGGAGGAGGAGGAGGAGGAGGAGGAGGAGGAGGAGCAGGAGGAGGAGGTGGAGGAGGAGAAGGAGGAGCTGCTTCTGTGGACATTTTTTGGAGCCCCGTGGATACTTCAAGGAGCCCTGCTTGGGGCCCGGCACGCGCTGCGGCTGCGGTGACCCCGCTCTCTATCGTGGCGCAGCCGTTCCAGGGCTGGGATCCTGGTCAAGGCGGAAATCCAACAAGTCCTAGTTCTAAGTGGGGCGTGTCCCTCTACAGGAGGGAAATTCAAAACAAGTCAAACATAGCCCGGGGACGATGTTCTGGGGACGATTTTCCATTTTTTGTTTTGAGTTTGTTTGATTACTTTTTTGGGGGGCTACTTTTCATTTTTCCTCCAAAATCCGCCTTCAGAGGGACATGCCCGACCTAATCCTAGTTCTCCCCAGACCTCTGGGCGCCGCGGGAAGCATCGCGACCTGCGCTTCTGCGCAGCCGCAGCGCGCGGAGGCCGCTTTCGGGCCCCGGGTAGCCCTTCTCGACCTCCCTCCGTGTCCAGCTGCCGCACTGCCTCTCTGACCGCGGATCGTGGCGCCAATATCGCAGAGCGGACTTCGTTCGGAAAGCGATGGGATGGGCCCGGATTGTCCAGGAGAGTCTCGTTCCGGATCTCGAAGTGAATTTTTCGCGCGGATTTTGCTGTCGGGCCAGGAGTGCAGCTACAAAAGACCCACGTGCAGTTCGCTCCGTTGTTCGCTCGCCGCGTCGGGGCTCTGCACGGGCGGCATGCCCGCGCGGAACTCCGCTGCAGCGCGCCAGCACGGGCGGCGCAGTGCCCAGGACGGGGCAGGCCGTGGACAGCCACGGGGCACCCGCAGGGCCATCTCCACGAAGCCGAGCGTGCGACGGCCCCCCCCCCCCCCGGGGGCAGCCGCGCGGCCACGCGGGAGAACCTCCACGAAGTCGGGCCTGTGCCCCTTGACAGGAGGAGCATCCAAAAGTCGGGGGTGGACAGACCTCCTACCCTGACACGTCGATTGAGGAACTGGCCGTTTTCGCTTCGCGAGGGGGCGCCGCGGCCGTCATTTTTGCGGGTCCAGGTCCGTCGGTTTCAGTCCCAGGTCGCTTTCACTAAGGGGAGGTTTACTAAAGGGAGGTTTGTCCACCGCCGAAAAAGTAGCACAAAAACCATCCGGGGACGATTGTCTTGTCTGGAGCATTTTCGATCGTTCTCTGGGGGGGATGTTTTTTGCGCATCTTTTTGGTGTGTCGTCCAAAATCCGCCTGCAGGAGGACACGCCCGACCTAACATCGGCGTCACCCCAACGTACTTATACTGTATGTGCGTCGCCCCACCGGGGGGCGACGCGCGCACAGAGAAATCTAACAGTACATGCGTCGAGGCAAGCGCCTTCTGGCCACACCGCTCGGGAAGCGATATGCTACAAGATGGGTATACTATATGTTCGTGCTCGGACGCGCGCCTCCAAGGAGGACATATAGTATTAGTATGTCCCTGTGCGTCCCAGATCAGGGAAGGAGTGGAGGGACGATGGAGGCGTCAGGCTGGGTTGCAGCCACATCGTAGCGCTGTCGCTTGTGATGCCTGGGAGTGGTGGTGGAGGAGGAGGAGGAGGAGGAGAGCGGGGACGCGAGAGAGTGGATGGGGGAGGCAGGGGCAGGAAGGCGAGAGGGACGACGTAGGAGGAAGATGTGGATCTGCTAGCGTCGGGAAGACGTGGGAGGAAGACATACAGTGCTAGACTGTCCCCGTGCGCCTGACCTGACACTTCCCGGGCAGGCCGCCCGCGCGGGCGGCCCCCGCCCTTCCCTCGGAGAGCAGTCTGACGCCGCGTGTCCGTAGCCTTACGTCGGGCCTGTCACTCTACAGGAGGAGTCCTCAAACATAGGCAAAGCATAATTAGATGTTTTGTGCTGTTGATATGCTGATTTTGTTGTGTTGTTTGTTGGTTTGTTTTTTTGTTTTACCATTGTTACTGTTCTTGCAAAGTCCGCCTGCAGAAGGACATGCCCGACCTGACGCCAACACCGCAGAACTGATGTCGTTCGGAAAACAGTGGCATGGGCCGGGTTGTCCTGGAGAGTTCCGTTCGGGATTTCGAGGTGAAGTTCGTGCGGATTTTTATTTGGCCAGGGATCAAGACTACAAAACATCCACGTGAAATTCACTTCGTTTTCCGCTCGCCGTTGCGGTGCTTTGCGTTGACAGGAATCCGCGCGAAAATCCGCTGCAGCACGTCTGCAAGGTCGGCGCAGTGAAATGGTCTGTCCCCTGAAGTGGTCTCGCTCCGCCGACACGCACGCCACGGACCTAAATCTGAAGTGGTCTCCTGGCGGAGGAGTCGTCGTCTCACTTCTATCTCACTCGCCAGCCTCTGATGCCCCTGCCCCGTCGCTCCTGGTCGCTCATCTTGCCTGATGCCCCCCCGCCAACATGGTTGGTGGTGACCCTCTTCCCTCCTGGGAGAGAAGTGGGCCGTGCCCAGGCAGCTCGCGCCGACGCGGTGTCCACTGTCTTCCGGCTGTTGCACGGCGTCCTCTCCGCGCCCGACGACGAGGAGTTGCCATTCCCATATTTTAAGGTTTGTGCAGGGTTACGTCGCGTCCAGTTTTGAGACATTTTCGGCTGGCGATAGCGGCCGTTACTAGGGTGGGGGGGTGGGGGCTGGTAAGGTCACGATCCGAGCCGGCGCCGTCTGAGAATGTTTCGGAATGCATCCGAGATATTTAGGAATGGGCTCATCCCAGACAGCGCCGGCGCCAATGGTGAAGACGTTGCCAGGGGGAGGGTGGGGGCGGGGCCGGGGGAACGGGCGTTGTCGTGAACAGTAGAGAATTGTTTTTGTTGGGTCATCTGGAGGAGTTCTGGCACACTTGTTCCGCGCCCGCCGTTGGCCCAATTTGGCAGGGTGACCTCTTGGAGATGACAGGTCGACAGTTGGAGTGGCCAGTACGTATGCCTCAGATTCTGAGTGTTAAGCCGGGCAAGAAAATAGTCTCGGGACAATGTGTTTGCTATTTTTCCTATTCTTGAATATTCTTTGTTTATTTTGATTTTTCGTCCAAAGTTCCCTGTAGGAGGACATGCCCGATCTAACCTTAGTTGCGCCTCGCTGAGGGCACTAATTGCGTGTCAGATGCGGATCAGTGGCAGAGTCCTGCTTGACTTGTTCTTCTCGCTTCAAGCTTGAGCTCCCCTCTTGAGTTCCCGTCTTAACCTTGATGGGCATCCAGTTCGCTTGAGACGTCCTCTCAGTCTTCGCAGCCCGCCGCCTAGGGGCGTTTCTCCAAATGAGCCTAGCAGGACCCCTCCCGATGGATCCCGCCGGCCTGGCGGGACCCCCTTCCCCTCTTTCATTGGTGCAGCACTGAGCCCAGCCCGATTCATCTGGTTCCACATCGATTCCGGCTGGCTCGATCCGATTCTCGGGCTGGACGAAAGGGGGGGATTGGGAAAGGGGGGGGTACGAAATTTGCTGCATGCAGCTGGTTTCGGCCCCACCGAGGTGCCCATTCCTCGATACATGGCCGCCTCCGGCGCCGGGAGGCGCCGGGAAAATCAGCTACGTGAGCTGATTCTCAGACCCCCCTTTGCTATCCCCCCTTTCGCCCGACCCGAATCAGGGAAGGATTGGAGGGGCGATGGAGGCGTCAGGCTGGGTTGCAGCCACATAGTAGCGCTGTCGCTTGTGCCTGGGAGTGGGGGGGAGGAGGAGGAGGGCGGGACTTGAGAGTGTAGGAGAGAGGCAGGGGGAGGAAGGAGAGAGGGACGACGTAGGAGGAAGATGTGGATCTACTAGCGTTGGTGCGTCTCGGGGAAATTCGGCACACTCATGCCGACGATGCGCCCGTAAGCCGTAGGCATAAACGTCATCGGAAGCATTCGCTTAGGGCAAGAACACACAAGCGCAAGAGTAATTGTGCACTGGCATGCAGAGGTGCCGCTTTCACGTACACGCGTAAACACACGCACCCAATTACATGCGCAACAGCGTCAGCATTACCATCAGCATTAGCATCACCATGCGCATCATCATGGTTCTTTGAGTATACATGCGCGCGCATATATACTCATGCGCTCGCGCCTTCGCACACGCAGACACGCACACATGCGAACACACTTGGACGCGGGCAGTTGGCGTCGCAGGATCAGCGGCGCGCGCGTCGGCATCCGCACGGGCACACAGGCACGCACCATCTCGCGCGGGGGGGGTCCTTACGGGGCGGGTCGGGCGGGCGGGGCATGGAAGCGCGCGGGGGGATCTGCCAGCGCGCGGGCGTGCGCAGTGTGCCCCCCCCCCCCCCCACACACACACACACGCGCACACGCGCACGCACGCACGCACGCACGCACGCACGCACGCACGCACGCACGCACGCACGCACGCACGCACGCACACACACACACTCACACACTCACACACTCACACACTCACACACTCACACACTCACACTCACACTCACACTCACACTCACACACACACACTCACACTCACACTCACACTCACACTCACACTCACACACACACAACACACACAACACACACACAACACACACACACACAACACACACACAACACACACACACGGGTCGGGCGCATAGGACCCAAACGGGCGGGTCGGGCGGGCGGGCTTATCAAGCGAGCGGGCTGGCCAGCGCGCGCCAAAAAGGCGGTACCTCAACGGGCCGGTCGGGCGGGCGGGGGTCCCAAGTCGGATGTTGCTAGAAGTGCCCCTGGCCCCAGGTGCCCCCAGGATTCTCGGGGTGGCCCAGGCGGCTTCCAGAGCACCCCTCACGAGGCCAGAGGGCCCCAGGGGCTCCAAAATTGAGCGAAAAGCCAGGGGCACCTTGGGCCAGGGGCACTTCTAGCAACACCCGATGAAGAGCGAGTTTGGGTTGGGGGAGGGGGGGCCTTCAAGCAGGCGGGCGGGCTTTGCAGCGCGCGAGCGGGCGGGGCCCAGGCTGGCGGGTCGGGCGGGCGGGGCGGGGCCCCGACGGGCGGAGCGGGCGGGCGGGCGAGGCCCCGATGGGGCGGATGATCGGGCGGGCGGGACCCTCGCAGGGCGGTCGTCGGCCCGAACGGGCGGGAGGGGCCCGAGCGGGCGGCTCGGGCGGGCGGGACCCTCGCGGGGCGGGAGGGTCCCGAACGGGCGGCTCGGGCGGGCGGGACATGAAAGCGGGCGGGGGGGCTTGCCAGCGCGCGAACGGGCGGGGCCCGAACGACGACGATGACGACGACGATGACGACGACGACGGCGGCGGCGGCGACGACGGCGGCGGCGACGACGACCACGACTACGATCACGAATTCGACCACGACCAAGGCCACGACCACGACCACGACGACGACTACGACGACGAGGACGACGACGAGGACGACGACGACGAGGAGGAGGACGACGACGAGGACGGCGACGACGAGGACGGCGACGACGAGGACGACGACGACGACGACGACGGCGACGACGAGGACGACGACGACGACGACGACGACGACTTCCACGACGACGACCACGACGACCATGACGACCACGACGACCACGACGACCACGACCACGACCACGACGGCGATGACGACGACGACGCCGAACGACGACGGCGACGACGACGAACGACGAAGGCGGCGACGGGCAGGTTGGCGCAATCAGCCGGGTGAAAGTAGCGGGCGCCTCGGCGAAACCAGGCGGGCGAAACCAGCGCCAGCGGAACCAGCCGTCGGCGAAATTCACCTGGCGAAATCAGCCGGGCGAAACCAGTGGGCGGCTCGGCGAAACCAGCCGGGCGAAACCAGCGTCGGCGGAACCAGCCGTCGGCGAAACCAACCGAGCGGAACCAGCTGGCCGAAGTCAGCCGTCGGCGACACCAGCCGTCCCCGATCGGCTCTGGGGTTAACGCATCGCAGATGGGTTCTGATAGCCCCACCCCGCCCAGGAACGTTCGTATTCGCCTTCTGGGGCCTATCGCCGATCCATCGGCGATGTATTGCCGACTCCAGGTCGACGTTTCCCCCCCTGAGTCAGCCTTCCATATCGTTGCCTCTCACCGGAGTGCTTGCTCTAGCTGTCGTCCACATGGCGCCTCCAGTCACTGCTCCATCCCAAGCCCGCGCCGTGAACAGAATCGCGAAGGGAGGCTTTCGGCAGTTTTCTACCTCCAGGGGCCCTCGCCGGGCCCCGGGGCTGTCAAACGACGACTCGGGAATTAGAAACGGGCATCAAGGGAAGAATAAATCAAGGCCTCGCATGTCTGGGGTCACTTCTGGGCCGAACCATCTAAATCAGGCACTGGGGGAGGAGTCAGCGACACTGGCCGGAAGGCCGTTGAATAGCTTTTGAAGAGCCTGACGGGAGCTGTGGGAGCAAGTTGATGGCTCATGCTGAAAACCCTGATGCGTCTACCGCTGCGTGCGTAGCACTTCCACTGGCTTCCGCCAGGCTTTCGCTGACTGCAACCAGCTTCGGCCAGCGGAACCGCCTTCGTCTTACTTTTGGGCCGCGGACCGGTTTGGTCCGATCGAGTCAGGTCGCGGACGAGTTCAGTCGGTCACCGCGGCCGTCATAGAAATTTGAGTTTCCGGTTCAGACAGCGGGCGTCGGCAGCGGCCGAAGTGCCCGTGGATGCACTCTGGAGGAGGGCATGGGCGAAAGGTCTTGAGGAGGAGGAGGCGGAGGAGGAGGCGGAGGAGGAGGCGGAGACGGATGCGGAGTCGGAGGCGGGGGAGGAGGAGGAGGAGGAGGAGGAGGAGGAGGAGGAGAGGAGGAGGAGGAGGGAGGAGGGAGAGGAGGAGGAGGAGGAGAGAGAGAGACGGAGACGAAGACGGAGACGGAGACGGAGACGGAGACGGAGACGGAGACGGAGGAGGAGGAGGAGGAGAGGAGGAGCCAGGAGGAGCCAGGAGGAGTCAGGAGGAGGAGGAGGAGGAGGAGGAGGAGGAGGAGGAGGAGGAGGAGGAGGAGGAGGCATCATCCAAACACACCGCTACCATGGGTGCGTCGCCTTCCCCCCCCGCTGGAGCGACTGCGCGCGCAGAAGTCCTGCGGTGCTCGGCGGCGGGCGCCCTCTGGCCACACCGCCCGAGCATTGATGGACCACAAGATGCTGGCGCTGTATGCTCGGTTCGGGCGTGCGCCTGCAAGGCGGGCGCACGTCACTGGTATGTCTAGGGGGCCACATGCGAACCCTACCCCTACCCCCCACGATTTCTGAGCGAAGTGAACCCCACCCTCCCCCTCAGAAATCGTGGGGGGTAGGGGTAGGGTTCGCATGTTGCCCCGTAGTGTCCTGCGTCCCAGCAGGCTTCCCTCGCGTCCGACTTTCGGGCCGCACCCTCGCTCCGCGCACGCCGCCTGGCCCGACTCTGCAGGGAGCGGCCTCACTGCGACGACAGGCCGACCGTTGGAGCGGGAACCACGCGCGGCTCGCGACGGCGCCCCGCCCGCGGCCGCCGGCCGTTCGCCCGGGACAGCCGACGTCCGCCGAGAGGCCCGCCGCGTGGCCGCCGAAGTCCGCGGCCGCCGATGGGGCCGCCGGCGTGGCCGCCGAGAGGCCGCCGAGAGGCCGCCGCCGCCGCGAGGGCCGCCGCGCGAGGGCCGCCGAGGCGCCCGCCGAAGCGCTGCCGCCCCGCCTGCGCCCCGGGCGCGGGGGGGGGGGGGGCGCGGGCGGGGCGGCAGTGCCGAGGGCCACTCCTTCGGCCGGCTTCGAAGACGCAGTGCCTCCTCCTCCCCTCCCTTCACCTCCTCCTCCCCTCTCCTCCTCCTCTCCTCCTCCTCCCCCCTCCTCCTCCTCCTCCTCCTCCTCCTTCCTCCTCCTCCTCCGTCTCCTCTCCCTCCTCCCCTCCTCCTCCCCCTCCTCCTCCTCCTCCTCCCTCCTTCCTCCTCCTCCTCCTCCTCCTCCTCCTCTCTCCTCCTCCTCCTCCTCCTCTCCGTCCTCCTCCCTCCTCCTCCTCCTCTCCTCTCCTCCTCCTCCTCCTCCTCCTTCTCTCCTCCTCTCTCCTTTTCTCTCCCTCCTCGTCCTCCTCCTCCTCCTCTTCCTTCTCCTCCGCCTCCGCCTCCCCCTCCATTCCTGTTCCTTACGAGCAACTCCTCACTGTCGCACCAGTCGGAGAGGCGGGCCGGGCGTTTCGCCCGAGATGTTTTCACCATGTATGGTCCTGAAGCTCACAAGTCTGTAACAATTTCACGGATTGGGGGGCGGGTTGATTTCAACATGCGGCTCTCTCCTTAGCTCCGCGCGCCGTCTGAAGCATTTGCAAGAGTTTCACGGATTGGGGACTGTTGTTTTCAACATTTGTTTGTTTTTTTTTTTTTTTGTTTTCCACAGCGCGCGGCAGCCCACACCGTGTCGCGCATGGCCGACGGCGCGGCCGCGGCGCCCCGCCCACGCGGGCGACGGGCGAGACCGCCCGCGCGCGACGGGGAAAAGGCCCCGCCCCGCGGGCAGGCGGGAGGCCCCCACCGAACGGAGCCGCCCCCACGAAGGGGGAGGCCGAACGGCAGGGCCACCCGCACGACAAAGGGGCAGGGTAAAAAAAGGGCCCGGACCCCGGGACCCACGAAACGACGACGAACGACAACGACAACGACACGACACGACGGGGAGAAGGACCGCCAGTCCCTCGCCTTAGCGCCGCATGCATTCGAGTCGAACTAATAAGTTGCAAGAGCTTCACGGATGGAGGGCGGGTCGTTCTCAATATGTTGCTCTCGCCTCAGCGCTGCGCACTTTCGTAATACAGAATTGCAGAAGTTTCGCCGATGGATGGAGGGTAGTGTTTGAATTGTGGTTCTCTCTCTATATAATGCCGCGCACATCCGCTTAAACAGATGCAAGAGCTTCACGGATGGAGAGCGACTCCATTTCAAAATGCGGCTCTCGCCCCAGCCCCGCGCACATTCGTTGAAAGTTTTTCTCAGCAGCAGGGCGCAACAGTTACGTTGCTATGTGTGCTGAAGTCCCAGACATTGCGTTCAGGCGCGATTCAGCATCGTCAAGACGGAGTAGTAACGGTGATTCTCGGCGTTGAAGCCCCAGGAATGGTAGTCTGGCGCAGTCCAAGATTTTCAGACGGTTGTCTTCCAATGGGACACTTCCTTCAATGCAAATGGTTCTTTGCAGGGGGCCGCTGAAGAGGGAGCTTGGAGGGAGGGTTCATTGCAACATCGTTGGTGGGTCTTGGGTTTACACTGGCCCTCCTCTTCCTCCTCGCCCTCCTCGTCCTCTTCCTCCTCCTCCTCCTCCTCCTCCTCCTCGCCCTCCTTGTCCTCCTCGTCCTCCTCGTCGGCCGCCTCCTCCTCTTCCTCGTTGTCTTCCTCCAATGGAAACATCGTGCGCTCGCGGACGACATAGCATCTGTAAGCCAGGACCTCTTCATTGTGTTGGGTACTTTATGGGTTTCGTCACGAACCTTACACATGCTACCTCGTTTTTGTTTTCGTGATGGTGCCAGTTCTGCCTGTGCGAGGGTCAAGGCTCGTGACAAGTGCTTTCGCCGCTTTAGGGTCGTTGACTGTGCCACGCATCCTGTAGGGCTTGTCGGTGCTTGTGGTGTCGTAGCGACCTGACAGCTGATCGCGTCGACCTGGGCTTCTACGAGTTTGCAAGTCAAGCTCGTGAAACAAGGTTTAAGGATGAGCGTGACCGCTTACCATATATCCGTTTTACACACCGCTGGTGTTATGTCCCAGTGTTGTAAACCAATAAACTTCATCTTGAAGACTGAGAGTGGGTTCGCAGGTATTCGTGCGCCCGAGGCGTAACTTACCTCACGAGCTGTTCCGTGCCCAGTCACCTTTCCAGGCGCATGGATTGCCGTGCCCATGGATAGCTTTGCCAGGTAATCTTGTTGGCACGTTATGTGCGCGCCAGTCTTCTGCGAGCCGCTGTTCGATCAGTAGCTTTCACGGATCTGCGATAACAGTGAACGGGATCTCTCAGAGCACAAATGCCGTTGCGGCCTACGTCATCGTCCTCCTCCTCGTCCGCCTCCTCCTCCTCCTCCTCCTCCTCCTCTTCGTCTTCCTCGTCCTCCTCGTCCTCGTCCCTCTCGTCCTCATCCTCCTCGTCATCTTCGTCCTCCTTGTCCTCCTCCTTCTTGTCCTCCTCCTTGTCGTCGTCCTCCTCCTCGTCCTCCTCCTCTTCTTAATCCTCCTTCTCTTCCTCCTCCTCTTCCTCCTCCTCCTCCTTTTACTCCCCCTCGCCAGCCTCGAGCCTGGAGCACAAAAGCACGGCGCCTACAGCGCAAGCGGCGGGTGCGGAAGGCGAACCCCGCGTTCCATCAGAAGTTGGGCCGCCACGCCGCGGGCGTTGAGCTCCTTGGGGCCGTGGGCTTCGAGGAGTGCGACGACACCGACGCCGCGGACGCGGAGGCCCCTCCCGCTCGCCCCTTTCACCTCCTCGCGCGGCTCCTCCTCCTCCTCCCCCTCCTCCTCCTGCTCTTTCCTCCTCCTCCTCCCCCTCTCTTCCCCTCCTCTTCCTCCTCCTCCTCCTCCTCCTCCTCCTCCTCCTCCTCCTCCTCTCCTCCTCCCTCCCTCCTCCTCCTCCCCCCCCCCCTTCCCCTCCTCCTCCTCCTCCTCCCCCTCCTCCTCCTCCTCCTCCTCCTCCTCGTCCTCCTCCTCCTCCTCCTCGTCGTCCGTAGCCATTTTGGCTCAAGATGCCTAGTTCCACAGTGGAACAAGTGGATACCGCTAGTCCGCGGCCAGTGCCAGGGCTCTTGAGCCCGACAGCTTTGTTCAACTCTCCGTGTGCCTCCTGCAGCCCGCAGGTGAGCTTTCTCTGTTCCTCAGCTCGTCCATGGCGCCTCCGCAGCAGCGCAGCGCCTACGTCAAGTGCTACTCCTGCTCGTGCGCTTGGAACTATAAGACCAACCAGACGTGCTACTGGTGCAGCAAAGCCTTGGCGCCGTGGACAGATTCCCCGCCTCCAGTTCAAGGTGCCTGGGCGGCCCGCGCCACGGCCGCAGCCCAGGCCGAGTCCAACTGCACCCAGCAGCCCAGCCCCGAGGGTGGATGGGAACCGTGGTCTTCATGGCCCAAGTCCCGCCGCCGCCGCGGCAATGGCAATGGCAAGAACCAAGAGGACGACTGGTGGGCCAACAAGAACGACACCCCCAAGGCGCGCTCCGCAGAGGACATCCTTGCGGAGCTCCAGGCGATCGCCCCCCACATCGACAAGGCAGCCATCGACGGCATCAAGTCGCAGATTCCGCCGCCCCAGCCGCAGAAGCCAGCTGACCTCAACGACATCTACAGCCGCGCCCAGGCTACGGAGCGCCGCTGCAAGAACAACCTGGAGAGGCTGCTCGAGAGCGAGCAAAAGGCGCTCAGCTGGTACACTGAGCGCAAGGCGGCGTCGGAGGAGGCCGCCTACAAGTTGGCAGAAGCCCAGGCCGAGGCCCAAGCCGCTCTCGATGCACTCCAAGTCGCTCGCAAGGGCGGCACTGCTACTCCCACGACCTCGCAGCAGAACCCGACGTTCAACCTCGCCAGCCTCCTCGAGGACGGCGACATATCCATCGAAGCGGGTTCGGCGTTCGATCTCCAAGGCCTCGACATCGACGACAGCGACCGCCAGGCATGGGAATCCCTCCAACAGCGCTTCGCCACGGAGCTCAAGGCCAAGGTCACCGAGCTCTTCGGCAACACCGCCAGCCGCATCAGCCAGCTCCGGGCAGAGGCCAGCACCATGCGCACGCGCTTCGCCTCCAAGCGACAGCGGTCCGACGAGGACGGACACGCCCGAGAGGGAGGTGGACCACCGGCCGCCGCCTCGGCGGCAGCAGGCGAACCCCCAGCGGCAGCCGCAGCGGACGCTGATGGCACTGCGGCCTCTTCGCCAGCGGCGCCAAGCGATGAGCCTCCCGCACCTGCTGCTGGCGCTACTTCTGACGGCAGCTTCGCCGCACAGCCTGTACCAGCGATCAACAAGGACCCCGACCTCGAAGACAAGGCACAGAAGATGCTCAGCCAGATGCGCAAGCCCACTGCGACCGCCGCGGCTGGAGCGCAGCAGCCTCTTTAGCCGCCTACTGCCCGACCCAAGACGGAATGGTGAGACGGGACGCCTACCGTCAGAGACCAAGACCTACGACAACCCACCGATCATCAACACAATGGACGCAGCCCTCGACCCGTTCGACGAGCTGGCCGAGTTGGACGCCCACATCGATTTCGCAGCCACAGTTCAGTACGCTACCGCCCCGCCCGAGACGCTGTCCTCGGTTGGGGGCGATGAGGCGGCGCAGTCCGTCGACCCAGTGGCATGGGGCCCAGGGCAGCCGCAGCGTGCCGCGCGAGCCGACCCTGATGCCGCTCCGCCCGAGACGCTGTCCTCGGTAGGGAGCGATGAGACGGCCCAAGCTGTCGACAGGCATGTGGTGCAGTTACCAGGGGAGCCGTTGCCAACGGCACACCCTGATGCCGCCCCGCCCAAGACGCAGTCCTTGGTAGGGGGCGATGAGATGGCGAAAGCTGTCGACTTGACCGCAGTGGAAGGCCCATGGAAGCCCAGCAGCCCGAGACCCGACCCCAGACCCGTCTACCAAGACGAAGGCCCTACGAAGCCCACGCCGTCAGATCACCCCTTGTTCTTCTCCAACATTACTCAGTGGGGGCCACAGTCGGAGAAATGGCTGGCAGGGCCAGGCAAACAATATCAGATGGTGGCATTGGTTGAAACACACATCTCGCATGGAAAAGCGCCTCTCATCTACGACAGGCTAGCAGCGGATGGTTGGAGGATATCATCGACTACGGCCACGCCGACCAGCAGATCAGACGGAGGCAACACGGGTGGCGAGATCATCCTCTCCAGGTACCATGTCCAGGCCACAACCTTCAACCACCTCCGCGACCTGGCCATCTCCCAGCGCAGGCCCGACCCGTTCCGCGGCTTCGCGCCCATGGTATGGCGCAGACGCTCTGGCAACCTGGTCGTTATTGCAGCGTATCTGGAACCCCGCAGGCAGATCGAGGGTGCAGTGCACGATAAGTTACTCTCGCTGGGGGCCTTCGTTACTATGCTCACGGACCCGTGGATCATCCTGGCCGATTGGGATATGACACCTGAGCAGATCGCAGCGACAGAGTGGCCCGCCAAATGGAATGCTACCATTGTGCGAGCGCCTGGATCCGCCACGTGCGACAAGGGCCAGGGACTCACGCTCGACTTCGCATTGGTCAAGACTGGCATCGAGCACGCGATCTCCATTCGCCAGTGCCCCACCGTACCCTGGGCCACCCATGTTGGCCTTGAAGTTCGAGCAGGCAGTGCAGACCCCTGGTGGTATCAGTCGATCCATGCCCCCAGGGCATTCCCCACAGTGGACAAACCTAGGATCCCACCAGACCCCAACAGCAAGACCGCCACCAAGAGACGTAAATCTGCAGAAGCTCGAGCAGCACGCCTACGCGATCTACCTCCTGAACTCCAACAAGCAGCAGCACAACTCCAGCCGCAAGACGAGCCCGCAGCACAGGAACCTATCCCTTACGCTATCCCGAGGGACCTGTGGGAGGAACAATGGCAGCAAGCTGTGCCCACACGTTGTAAGCAGCCTCACGCGCACTTCGCGTGCACCCACTGGGTGCACGACGCCGACGACCTCAACCTCAAGTACGCCAAATGGGTCACGGCGCTCGAGAACACCATGATCAGCCACCACCAGATCGACCCGAAGGAAGCCGCAGCATACACAGGCCGAGCCCAAGGCTACCAGTTGTCTTGGAAGAAGACGGCCGCCGCCCCAGGCCGCGTACACGTACATGACCCTCAGTCGGAATGGTGGGCAATCACGCTCACCCTCATCAAGCGCTACGCTGCGCTTCACGACAAGCCCAAGCACACAGCGCTCATGCAGCAGCAGGCCTCCATCATCCAGCAGCGCGCGGACCACTTCAACACTCACTTTCACGACCTCCAGTTCGAGAAGGACGAGGACACCATTTTCCGTTGGTTTGCACTCATCTGGGCCCCGCACTTGGACAATGAGGACACCGACGACTTGGTCACTATTACCGCTACTTGGGCCTCCAGAGCGCTCTCCGCCGCCCTCGCCAAGTCCAAGAGGGCATGCGGTGCTTGGCTCGCCAAGCAATGGAAACGCCGCCCTGGAGTACTACACGCCCATGCCAAGCCTGCGCCCGTGCGTCACATCGAGGCCTACACGACTAACCTGACCATCGCCGACCCCACCGTTATCATGGACAACAAGAAGCAACAATGGCAACAAGCATGGCAAGCCACCGAGACCCCCGACGACATCCTACAGGCACTGTCAAAGGCCAAGGCAGCAGCCGCTCGCCAACCGCTCGAGCCCATCACAGCCGAGATCGTGCACCGCTTTCACGGCCGCATGCCACCCAGTAAAGCACATGGAGTTGACGCCCTTGGACCTCCCGACCTCCATCGACTACCAGAACCAGCAGTCGAAGCCTATGCGGATATCCTCAACGCAGTAGAGCAAGCAGGCATCTGGCCACTACAAATCTCAGGCACTATTGCAGCCCTCGCAGCCAAGAAGTCTGGGGGCGACAGGGTCCTCGGCATGCTACCTCACATGGCCAGGCCCTGGTCTCGCATCAGATCGACTGCATCTACATCCTGGGCCCAAGGCCTGGACGACTTTTGGACTACAGCCATCAAAGGCTCCTCAGCTCTCCAGGTCGCCCTACATAGGGCCTTGTTAGACGAGGCAGCCTCAGCACTTGGCATACAGTCAGCCACGTTGCTATTAGACATCCAGAAGTTCTACGACAATATCAAGCTCGCCAACCTCATTATGGTCGGCCTCAACTGCGGCTTTCCCCCCATCGTTCTACTGCTGGAAGTGCAACTATACCTGGCGCCCAGATTCTTGCGCAGTCGACAATGGGTGAGTATGCCTATCTTCGCCTCCAAAGGCATCATTGCAGGCTCCCCTCACGGCACGACCTTGGCACGACTCATTTTACTTCCTATTCTACGGCAGGCCCAAGCTCAGGCAGAGCTTGCCCAGATGTGGACCTTCGTAGACGACACTGTTCTTCGAGTCGAAGGAGTCCTACGCACGCTACAGAAGCACCTCCCCCGTGCTGCCAAGACGCTCTGCGACGGTTTAAAGGAGTTCGAGCTGCTTATCTCTGACGAGACGGTCCTCATCGGCTCCGCCCCCAAGGTCCGCAAATCGCTAGCCAAGAAGTTGCGGCAGTACGACGTCCCAGTTACTGCGACCGCCACGGCCGTCGACCTCGGAGTTGACGCGGCTGCGGCTACTCGACGGGTACAAGCCAAAGCCAGGAAGCGACAGAGCTCAGCCGCAGCTAGGTTTCGCAAGATACACCGACTACGGAGCACTGCACAGCAGGCTCGAATCTCAGCAGGACTGTGGCGTACTGGCGCTCTCCCCGAAGGAGTATTCGGTCATCAGGTGCACGGCCTCGCTCGGCACGCTCTACTACGATGGCGGCGTCAGGCCGCCATTGCGGCCACGGGGGCAGCAGCGGGCCGATGCCTCACCTCCCTCCTCGGCGCCACCTTCGACGGCATGGACCCAGGAGTTTCCCTAAGGATCGAATTCATCGAGGCTTGGCTTCAGCACTGGATGCGCCACCCGAGCACGCGCGCCAGGATCATCAGAGCATGGCCAAGGATCAAGACCACCTTGCTCGCCGCAGGCCCCAAGCTGTGGTGCAGGGCCAAGGGGCCCACATGCGCGGCCATCGCGGCCCTGCTGGAGGCCAGCTGGGAGCCGACCTCAGCTACCACGTGGAGGCGTACGAAGGACGGTTACATCGAGGAGTGGAACCCCCCCCCTGCCGATGACCTTGACCTCCTCGACGCCGACATCCACGCAGTATTGCAGGACCTCAGCGGGGATTTACACAGGCTCCTCTGGACTCAGGCTGCTACGCATGACCATGGTGACACGCTGGCTGGAGGCGCGGACATGGTCACTATCCGCATTGAACAAAGGAGGCTCCTCGCAAACGGTGATTTCAGCGACTGGGCCCTCAACAACACCGTCATCAGTGGAGGACAGTGGGCCAGAGACCGCCTCCACAACGCGGGCTACCAGATCGACAAGAACTGCGACCGATGCAGCGCGGGAGTTCCTGAAACCTTGTTTCACCGAATGTGGCAGTGCGAGGCGAATGTGGGACCTGAGTTTGAGGCCAGTGACAAGTTACTACCGCGAGCCGTGGCGGGGGTCGATGCCGACCCTGCCCTGTGGCTCCGTGGCATTCCCTCTGTCGCTCTCACTACGCCCGCGTTCGAGCCATTGACTGGGAGGGACGGGTGGGAGTTTGTTGGTGCGGTGCGGGAGGGTCTGCCGTCGTGGGAAGGAGCTCGTAACGCTGAGGGCGAGTTGTTTCTATTTGGCGACGGGTCTGGCGGCGCCTTTTCCGACGACGTCAGGCGACGGCGTGTTGGTTCTGGCCTCGCGGCCCTCCGATGGGACCCTCCCTCGGCCTCCTGGACCCTCCGCGCGGGCCTCCTCGCCCCCCTCCCAGGCCCCCGCCAGGCCGTCCCAAGAGGCGAATTGCATGCGTTTTGCCTGGCACTGGAGACGTGCCAGCAGGATTTCACGTTTGTTACAGATCACCTAGCCCTGCAGCGCGGCTGGCAGAATGGCAGATGTCTCAGACCTGGCAGCCTTAGAGGCAAGAATAAGAATGGGGATCTCTGGCTGAGAATTCGGCACCTCGTGCAGGATCGATCTGTCGGCGGCGCTTCGGTCACGGTGCTCTGGACCCCATCTCACGCCGATCCCCTCACTTTGCATGGTTTCCAAAAATTTCTGGCTCTCGGCAACCAGCATGCCGACGAGCTCGCGGGAAGCGCTGCCCACGCGTCGGCCACCCTTGCCCTCCCGCCCGTCCCCAGGACCGATGAATACGACGCTATTGCAGCCATCGTCCGTCAGAGGGCACGACTGATCTTACGTTCCTTAGGCAAGAATTCAGAGCCTCGAGGACTGTGGCCAGAGAGGCAATCCACCCAGGAGGCAGCCCCTCGCTCTCTGTTGCAGACCGCGATTGCGG